CTCTCTGGCTTTTGTTCTTGTTTTTGTTCCTTCAGTTCGGATAAAATTTGCTCACGAATTTCTTTCTTCAATGCTTCAACATCTATGACCCCTTGGGTCTTGTCCGTAGGGCTTGTCTGAGTCATTTGACTGCAGATAAAAAACAAAATTAAAACTTTAACCGATGTAAAATGAGCTTGTCAAAATCAGAGCGAGAGTCTATTATATTAAATGACGCAGAGGAATACAACATCCTTTCTATTACGTAAGTCAGAGTAAAGATGGTAAAATATACGTAAGAAAAAGAAAGGTTCCATTAGCGAATGCAGAAAGCGACACATTAAGGTGTATGGCACCGAGGGCGAAGCCCATGTTAAGCCTTCTATTCAAACTGAAAAGTCAATAGAACCAGAAGAAAAGAAGCCAGATGTACTTTCAATAACGAACCAAGAGCTTATTGCAAAGTTCGTGAATTTCATTGAAAAACAAACCGAGTCAAAGAATCCTGACCCGCCAGTGAAAGAAGTTGAGACAAAAGAGAATGTACAGTTCATTGAAAATGTCAAGAAACAACTTCCACCACGAATGCCAAGAAGAAGAGTGAGAATAATGAAGTAAATAGATATTTTTATCTGAAGTAAATACATGCAGAACGAACAGCTAAACGAATTTACTCCAGCAGAGCATATTCATCAGATTCGCTCATATTTCGATATCATAGACAATGCAGTTCAAATTGGTGACACTAATAGAAAATATTCTGACGCAAAGATTCCATCACAACCTGGAACTGCTAAAGATAACACATGGGTAACATTCAATCTCTCACCTCCTGGTGAAAATATGTTGGACCTTTACAATACATTCATTACGTATAAAATGGAAGGTCAATTTATTGTAGATAAAGAAATTGGTTCAGGTTCCAATAAAACAAACCCACCAGGATTTTGGATTGGTTTCGATGACGCTTTTCTATGCAGTTGCTGGATATCAAATCCTTGCAAATGGTCGTATCGTATATTCTCAAGACAACGCAAGAGAAGAAGCATATATAACTTCAAACTCACAAACTACCGAACAAATAAAGAAAGTAGATGTTTCTCAAAGACTCGACATGAAGATGTATGGAGTCATTCGGGAACATGCAGAACAGGACAAATTGTTAGTGGTCCAATTACAGCAGGAAAATCATTTGATTTTAAGCTTCGTTTAAGAATTCCTGTTAGAAGATTCCTTCCATTAGAAGCTATTCGATTTATTCCAGCTTTTGCAGGAAACATTCAGCTTAAAGTAAAGTTCAGTAGCGACGCCTTACAATGCACATCTATATCTGTAAATGATATCATTGCTTTCAATCCAACTCTTAAAGTTGCATTTGCTTCAGATTCAAATCCACCGACAAATAAATTTGTTCCATGGAATGAACCATTCACTATGATAACGAAGGCAGTAGAAGCTAGTGGAACAGTTACTATTACAACTGTAACCAGCAACTATTTCGAACAAAGATGGATTTTAATGAATGTTTCATTCATCCAAAGTCATTCTCTTTAGACCCTAACATTTATACAGAACTTGTAGAACATTATACAAACGAGGCTTTATGTTTTCCTGTTAAAGTTATGGATTGGATTCCTATGGACGGTTCATTCTCAAAGAATACAGATAGTTCAAGTGCAACATTTACAGCAGCTTATACGCCTATTAATGTTAAAAGTATTTGGGCACTATTTAGAAAGAAAGACAACTATTATGTTAATTTTGAGAACCCTAAGTTTAAATATCTTCAGCTTTCCATGGGAGCTTATGGAAATATGCCTGCAGAACCTGAAAAATCATATGGACCTGTATTTTATGAAATGGTTGCGAACGCTTGCAATACAAACAATGATATGATTGGATTTAATGAAGATGTTATGAGGTCATTGGTGGATGATGGTAGTGTGGAACATAAATGGGATAGCTATGACAACACACATTTCTTATGTGGTTTTCCAACTGAAGTGGACTTTTGCTTCCAGCAAGGTCAAACATCTACTGCTCCAATAACATACAAATTGTCTGTTAAAGGACCTATTGAACTAGCAACTGAAAACGTACCAAAGCCACTTATTGGATTTATGAGGGATTGTTGCTTTGCCATTCAGGTGCGTGCTAATGGCATCCCCATAATAAGATTAGATGACTATAACTTAGCTGCGGACGACAGTGAGGAATAAAGGATGAACGTTTATTTTTAAAGCTTATAAATGAGTTCTTCATCAAGCTCTCGTGAACCTTCACCATCTATGAAACAAACTTTACCAAACGATTATGGAGCACCTATTGAATATTTCTTACGAGCTGCACAATGGCAAAGAGCAGTCTCACCAAGGTTAGGTGTTCCACCAGCTCCTGTCAAAAATAGCATTTGGTCAAGTCCTTATATAAGATATGGTCTCCCACTAGGTTTGCTAGCTACAGCAGGAGCAGTTATGATGTTGAAAAGAAATAAAGCAAATGTTGTAAATAATACTGAAGTAGCTGAAGTTAAACAAACTCCAACGCCTTCACAAGCAAAACCTTCAATGACTCCTGAACCTATGGAAGTACAAACTCCTGTTCAAAAGTCAACTCCTAAACCGACTCCAACATTTAAACCAGAACCTACTCCTCAAATAAATCGTAAAACTCCTGCGTTTCCTTACTGAAAAAATAACGTTATTTTTATTTAATATTAAAATTTTTATTTGATTGAAATGACAAATAAAGTCACTGAAGCAATGAAACAAAAGTTTTTGGTAGAATACATTAAATCAGGAACTATTCCAGAAGGTTTTTACATTCATACTATGAAGGATGGTAGAGTTCAGTTTAGAAAGATAAAGCAACCATTAGATAGAGAAGGAATTTTGAGAAAGATTAAACTTCATGAGGACAACATTGCTGAACTTAAGAAGAAGTTAGAAGAGTTGGAGAAAGGAAGAGAGTTATAAAGCAATGAATTCAACAGGGTGAAAAACCGGGTGAAAAAAGAGGTGAGGTTTCACCACTTCACTTAAATTTTTTGTGCTATGTTTTCATACGTGTGAGGGTGGTGATATCATTAATTTTTAAGTTTATTTTTATATAAATGACAGAACAAAAATAAAGCATATCTACTCAGCAGGAATGAGACCCTTACTGACTATGTATTCGTTTAATGCTTGATGAAAACAATGGTACATATTATCGTATGGGTATACACAACGTCTGTTTCCATCGTCGTCGTATATGTAGAGCTCAAATCCAGTCCAACCTTCTTTTGTACAATATGTAGCTTTATTTAAGTATGCATTTGTGTAGATAAGGCAATTTTCTTCATCGTTCCAGAAATAATTTTTGTTCTTTGTTGAAATAGTTTTCGTTCCTCTGCGACCATAAGGAATGTATGCAATGAACTTTGCGTCATAAGGGATTGTAATATATTCAGGGTTTCTTTCATCGTCAATGGGTCTGTCTTTGTTAAAATGCATGTTTCTCAGTTTTACTTGGGTTTGAATAGTTCACGGAAACGTTCTGGGAAAGAGTCATAGTAAATGTAGTCAGACATGTCTTTACAATGAAATAAAAAAATTGGAAAATAAATAAATAAGGTTATTTTTATTTAGTGAGGATGGTAGTGAATTCGTTAGTGAAGTCATTGGTGAAGTCATTAGTGAAGTCGTTTATGTGTCAAATGGTTTTGTAAATATTTAAGGTTAAGTTGGTGTTACGGTTGTGTTGTAAAATATACGTTACCGGTTTCGTAAAGTGTCAAAACCGCTAAGTGGTGTACGGAGGCGCGCAGTGCCACAGTACGCAACTTAGGGATACTAACTAAAGGCACTTAATGTGCATTTTCTAATTCAATTAGATTTGCACATTAAGTGCCTTATTATTATAATAACTTTAATATGGAATAAGTCGAGTTTATTCCAATATACGAGCTTATGCTCATATGTCGGGTTAAAATCTGGCGTTTGGCAATGTCGCAAAACGCCGATATGCTAATTCCTAAAAAATTTTTTTATGAAAAAATTCTTTATTCGCAAAAGGTATAGTATTTGCTCATGTACGAACATATGCGAGAAATTCCCATTTTCTTTTGATCAAATATATAGAATTGGTATAGTATAAGACCTTTTCCTTACATTTAATGAAAATTGAATGATCTTCCAAATTTTCTGAAAAAATTTCAACCAAATTTTATTCGATAATCATCTCAGTTTTCTCGTTTATTTGATCATAATGATTAAATTTAAAGTCAAGCATAGCAATTTGAGTAGGGGTAATTTTAGCTAAAAGTGACACGCCTGTAAAAAGTGACACACCCGTGAAGGGTGTGATTACCGATCGGTAATTTCGACAGTTTAGAATTTAAAATTTTTATGGAACTGTTGCGAGTTTCATAAAGAATTTAAGGAATATAAGCAAAGATTTGAATCAAAATCTTAGACCTAAGCCGCTCGATTCGCTCGCGGCTTCCGCGAATTACAGATCAGCAAAGATTTGAATCAAAATCTTCGAACTAAGCCGATCGCTTCGCTCGCGGCTTTCTTTATTATTTTAAATTTGCATATTTCCATCAAAAGTTCATAAGGTAAAAAATTTTGTTTATTTTTACTAAGAAAAAAAAGGTTTTTGATAATAAATTTATTTTATTTCGAAAAAGTAGCAATAATCGTAAAAGGGTATTGATAGGCTTGCTAAAGTAACTAATTTTAGCTGTCAAATACTTTTGTATTTTGAAGTAAATTAGTATAAATTTGATATTATTTTAACTCCCTTTGAAAACCTCAATTTTCCATACAGAGGGAACGGGAATAGCATCCAATATTCCCTGAGAATGGTTGCGCATTCTCAGTTCCCTCTATATTTCGAACGAAGCTCTCATCGGTCTTTTTTTTAATACTAAACGTTTTTTTCCCCTGTTACTTTTAGCTAAAATTTGGGTTTGCCTAGCAATTTTGAAGTCGATTTTACACCGAAGAATGGCAGATTATTCATTATTTTAATTTTTTATGAGCTCGTTAGAGGATTTAGTGGCAGCACTTAACAATTCCTTAACCCCACACAGTTCTCCTCCAGTTGAAGCTCATGTCGAATGTACCGCTTCATCTTTTGGCATAACTTTGATAGGAAATATCGCCCAAAAGTTACAATGGACAGATGAGCAAATTAAACTTTCAGATACATTATTTACAACTACCTTTTTCTCACTAGCAACTGTAAATGGCCTCGTCACAGCGCAAGTTGAACAGTCCGATATTCCACAGCTTGTTTTTACAACATCAGCACTTATTACATATATTGAATATCTTACATATATGCTAAATACCATACCCCTCTTTTCCAATGAGGTACAAAAACAAGTCGAATTAGCTGTTCAAAACCAGATTGATCCTAACGCGTTTATTCAAAGTGTTACAGCATTACATGAGTTCGCTCAACTCACTCAATATGTTGTTGTTCACTACGACAACGAAATACCATTGACAAAAAACGCAGTTCAAGTTCCTTTACTTGGAGAACAAATAAATGCAGTCATTTCTGCAATCATTCAACTATACAATCTTGCCGGAGCAATTTATACTGATATATCTAAGCAAATTGATCCAACATTAGATTATCAGCAGTTTATTCAGCTCTACAGCCAAGTTCTCCAGGTGATTCCTGCTCTCATTACGATGATAACACAGATCAAAGATTCTCTTAACCAGACTGTCATTCAAATTTATCCAGAACCTGAATATAATGATTTTCAATTATATCTCAAAGCATTCACAAAGAGTTCGGCAATGTTATACCTATTGTCCTCTATCATTGGAATGTACAATCAGGACAGTTTTCATATTACATTAAGTGTTCTCAAGATTTTAGCTGAGCAACTACATGTAATCGACGCAAAAATCACAAGAATGCTTAGATTCAGAGGTAATTTCGAGCTCACTGTTAAGGAAATCCGCCAAGCCTATCAAACAATGTCCGAAATCTTCAAACCACTGCTTGAGAACCTTGTAACAACGTTACCATTAGTACCTACTGGATATCGCAGTTCTGCTGAAAAAGCAATTGTTGAAAGTTTCCAACACGTTCAGAAATCTTTCAATGAATTCAACGGAAGATTCGAGAATCTCTTGGCTGCGATCAGAAAAGATAGAAGATTCTCGTTATTCCAGAACATCGATGTTATTCTTAACAGCCCTGTTACAGCTCAAGCTCAGAATTTAATTCAAAACTGCGTTTTCCTTGCTCAACAAATGCTTAGAGATAACGCAAGTCTACCAGAAATTACACAAACTGTACAAGAAATTTCTGCAAGTTACCCTCAATTTTTGACATATTTCAATCAAATCATTTCTGATGCATTAGAATTAACAAACAAAGAGCGCTGGGTAAAGCAACGCGACTATATAGCACTTACACTTAATGATTTCATCAATACATTCCAGATTTTCTCAGCAAATCAAGAAAATATTTTATTCAGATTTTTAACAGCTGCTTATGCAGCCAGATTTGCTGCTTCTTTCTTAATGATGGATATCCATCCAATAATTACAATGCAATTGCAAGTAATGAGACAAATTTTGATATCTGGAATAATTTTGTTATTCAAATCAACTGCGAAGACAATTTTCGATTTGTTATCTCATGTTAACCAGGTTTCTTCTGTTCTTTCTCAAGAATCAAAACAAAAATTTGATATAATTTTCCCTGTTGCTTTCCAAACATTCCAAGATGCAGCAACAAAGATCATATCAATCAATAATGAAAACGATACAGAAGCATTCGCAAATTGTCTTAATGAAACTGATAAAATTTTATTAATCTTCAAAGCACTTATTTCTATCATTGAAAGCTGCCAAGATCAAAACATTGCTTCAGCAAATACTCTTCTCTCCAGTTTCGAGAACGCTTTATCAACTTTGACCAGGATATTCAGAATTTTACTTCAAATCGGAATTACTAATGATGCGAAGTCATTTAACTTCATCATGAGTCCATACATCGATATATTGTCTACTTTGTACAAATTACAAAGCGATTCGATTTATGAAAGATATCTCAAACTTAAAAAGCCATTGGAAGAGAATCTCGACAAGATTAAGGATGTATTAGATGATGAACCTCCATTTGGTTCATTTGATCCTGATTTTTGTTCAAATATTTTCACTCATTTTGGAAATGCGGCAAATTCTTCCTTTAACTTAACAAAGGAGATCCCCGCATCGATAAAATCAGGAAATTACAACAGTTATCTTGAAAAATACTATAATTTATTGGCAAATTGCATCCAAAGTTACACAACAAACGCAAATTACCAAAAAACAATCAATGTTAATTATGTTTGCAGCATCAATGGTGTTTCTGGCTTCAAATTGAAGGAATGTTGTACATCAATCAGTCAAAAATTAAATGAACTTGTTCAGAAGCTCCAAACAGATCCACAGACAACACCAAGTCTTGCAATACTTATCTCCAAAGATCTATATGATATTCCTGTGATTTTGGCAAAAGAATCAAATTCAGATAAACTCAAACCGAAATCATTATCGTTAAACAACCTTGTTACTAGTTATGCATGTGGTGACCAAACAATCATACAGAAACTGGTTGAAACAATACAAGATATCAGTAATTCTGTAAATCCTTTGATTCAACTCAGTGAACAACTCATTAAACAGATCTCAGAGACACAGAAACCAAAGGAAGAACCAAAACCACAAGAAAAACCTCCAGAAATACAAAAAGAAGTTAAGCCCGTAAAAAGTGACAAAGAAATTAATTTTGATGAAATTTCTGATTCAGATATCAGTGACAATGTTATTGAACTTAATGAGGAAGTCACAGGAATCATCAGCAAAGTTGTCAGTGATGTTAAGAAGTTAAATCAGAATGATATGAATGAATTAATTTCTGAATTACAAGATCTTCGAAAGAAATCGATGAAATTGACATCATTGACATTAGTTGCTGCTAAGAGACGCTCAGTTATGTTAAATAAAGATGATGTTGATAAATATTCCAAGGAGATTTCGAAATTGGTTGAGAATTTGAATAATTTAGAGAAAATTTCAAAAGATTCTCTTCAACAATCGAACAAAACAACTTCATATCGCAATGTTATTAAGCTACAAAGAGAAATAATAATAAATATCTCAACAATTGCGATGTTTTGTGACAAATTTGCTGAAATTCCACAAAATTCAGAACAAAACCATGTGACAAAATGCTTATTATTGATGTTATATATCATAACACAAGATAAACAGAAGTCTATTGATGTTTTGAAGCAGTTTTCATTGAAGAAAGTCACAGAAAAAGAAGATTTAGATTTAATCACCGGAAAACTCTCAGAATTAGAGAAGGAATTATCAACAGATGATATATTATCACAAATTAACCATGTAATTGATATCAAACAATCAATTGATAGTTCATTATCTGAAGATATCAAATCTCAACCAGAAATCATCATCAAACTTCCATTTAGATTCAATGTCACGACTAATAAGTCATATCAACCACGTCATGTTGCAGAAATCAAGAAAGAAATCGATAATTGCTATAATTTACATGAAATTTCTCTAAATAAGTTGAATGAAGTACTAAATAATAGAAAATCTACACCAGAATCGATCTTTTCTGCACTTAAAGAGTACCATGACTCATCAAACAAGTTATTAATTAATACAGATTTGATGAGAAACTCAACATGGAATCCAAACTGTCAGAACAAGCTCCAGACATGTTATAACAACTTAGTAGCTGCAGGAGATAACGCAATCGATGCTTGCAGAGCCAGATTACTTGCAGACGAGAAATGGAAGGAAACAATTCAAAAATTCACTGAAAATGCAAAAGATTGTTCCCAAAAAATCATCACAGCATCACAAGAATCTCTTGATGCAGTCCAACAAGACTTATCCAGCACAAACGAAGCAGAAAAAGAACTGATGATCGCAGCACAAAACATCCAGAAATCACAGTCAAGACTGATGTCATTCAAATCACAAGCGGAAGATCAAAGGACACAGAAAGGAGACAGTTACATCGGTGTCGAAATCATCGATGTTTCCGCTCCAATTCTCAATACTTCTGCAAAACTAATTGAAGCAGCACAAGCACAGATGAAGTATTGTTTGTCGAGAAAACCAAACTTAGATAACCAGACAGGAATGATAAACACAGCGAGAAATTTAGTTGATTCTTTGGATCTCATAATTGTTGCTGCAGAAGCAATTGTTAAAAGCAAAAAAGATGCAATCAACAAAGTTTTGGCTGCTTGCAACATCATCTCATCATCAATTGCGCACTTCCAAGCTGAATGTCGTCAGAAAGAAGGTTCTCCTGAGTTAAATGACGTAATACAGAAGATAACTGACCAGATCCAAGAGACAATCGGCCACGTCAGGAATTTCGGAGAAACAGCACAGAGAAAGGAAACAGAAGAATTGACAAAAGATGTCAAACAACCAACAAAAGCTTTGAACAAAATGGTCGAGAAACTCAACGCAGAAGCAAAGGTTATCGAAGCCAAAAGAGCTCTCGAGGAAGCTGAAAACAAGCTCAAACAGATAAGACAAAAGAAATAAACTATTATATTTGCAATTTATATTTTATTTAAATATCAAAATTTCGAAGATAAGAATTTTTTTGGAATTAAAAAAATAAAAGAAAAATTATTGCACCGCCCGGGAATCGAACCCGGACCCCCACCTTGGCAAGGTGAAATTCTACCATTAGACCAGCGGTGCATTACATTTTCTATAAAATTTAAAAAACTAATATAAATAATTTTATTTTCATTCCCATATGAGTGAAATTCAAGTGAATTGGGTAAGGATGTTAGTCGTGAAATCTAAGTGAATCTGGAAAATTATTAAGATATTTCAGTATTTTATCAGTGAAATAACATTACTGTAACAGAATTCAATGAATCTCAGTGAATAAATAAATAACAAAAATAATATTTTTTTTATTACAAAAATAAAAAGCACTAATATCATAAAAATTCTATATCTAACGGTTTCCACCAAACATTCTTCTTTCTGACTCGATTTTCTCGATCATTCTTTCTCTATACAAGTAATCCTGTCCCTGAGGAACGCCAGGCATTTGGAGAGGCATTTCTGACTCAGCTCTAATACTTTCGAAGTCAATTGCTCCTCTGTCGAAGAATGATTCGTGATCTGTTCCATCCGCTCTTCCCATTTTGCCTTCAATAGCGTAAGGAGGCGGTATAACATCACGTCTCATCCATGAGAAGTCTCTTCGGTAATCAGGAGTCTTGAGATCGAAGATATAAGCATGAGATGTTCCATCGTGGTCATCTACGTCTCTTGTCCACGTCAATCTACCAACTACAGGGTAGTTCATTGGTATTATTGGGCTTTCCCTGGTGATCGGAGGCTTTCCTCCCGGAGCTTTCTCATCATCCAGGAAAATGTAAGTGGGACTAAACTGGTTTCTCTGTTCCTCTTCATAAGTTAGGCGGAGATCTGTTCCTTTCATGACATCCGAGATCCTTTTGTCCCAGTCTGTGTTTGCTTCTCCAATAAATGGAACTAAAACGTGGCCTTTGTAGGCCTGCTTTGCTCCTTCGAGGTCTATGGAAAATGTGGTAGGGTAAAAGTCCTTAATTGGTGACTTTTCGTTTGTCATAAGAAATTGCATTTTTTCTGGAAGGGCGTGAGCGGATTGTGGAGGCAGAACAGCCATCAGTTGCCATAGAGGAAGGAAAGGACAGCCTCTGTCGAACTGGTAAGTGGCGGGATTTACATCGACCAAATCCCAATCGGAAGAACAAGGAGCGGAATGGTATGGATAGGACCAATCCCAGTTATGTGTGCCATGGAGATAATAATTAAGGGTCCAAATCATGCCGCGAGTGAATTCTGTAACAATTTTGGCAATTTCTTCTTTTGTTTCAGCATGGAACTTCTGTTTGTAGTAAACTCGCTTTAATTGGGCAAGATCTGTTTCTTCTGTGACTTTAATTCCTTCGTAAACGTGGGGAACAATGTTTTTCGTTTTTCTTTCTTCTTTCTTTTCTTCTGCTTCTGTTGGAGGCTCTTGATCTATATCCGGATCAGGTGCCTGTGATATTTTGTTCACTTGTTTCTCAATTTCTTCGGATCTTTGCTCAGGACATAAAATATGTAAAAGAGAATTGCGCTCAAAGACATATTCTCCTGTTCTTCTTTCATCACAAATTAATTTCATGAAGTCCTTGAAGCGTGGGAAGTCGACTTGGCCGTTGTAAGTGAGATATGCGTTATATCTCGGTAAATTGTTTTTGTATAAACAAATAATATCCGAAACTGTGCCCTCCGCGATGGAAAATCCAGGAAGGGTAGGGATAAAATCGTTGCCGCAGCCGTAACAAATGAAAATAAAATCATCAATGGCTCTTTCGAGGTCCCATGGTAAATTTGGTGGTAAATTACGTGGTTTCAAGTCACGTTCTAAATATTGGCGAAGGATCCAAAGCGATACGAAGTCGAAATGCTTCGGACCAATTAAATCAACTTTTTCTTTTTCTTCAGGAGCATCAAAGATCTGATGGTGTAAAGCCATTTTCTCGTCTTCTTCAGTAGCTTTCTTTTGTTGTGAGTTCTGGCGAGGAAGATCCTTTGCTTCGTTGATTCTTTCTCTGAGAATTGTCCAATATGGTTCATGCGATGCCAATCCAAGGAAAATGATATCAGCATCAAGGCCGTAGATGACGTGGTGTCTGTTTGAATCGTATTGTGGCTCCAATCTCTGTGCTCTTACGAAATCCATAATTTTATGCTCTCCTTCGCCAGGAACTGATGCGTCACTGAGTATAACGCAGATTTTACCCCATGCAGGATCAGTTTCTTGCTTTCTTTGTATGAATCCGTGTAAATGTTTTGATAATCTTTCGAAAAATAGAGTTCCTGGAGTAATTACGTTTGAATCGTGATTTTTGAGATAGTCTGGATTGTAAAGTTCTGCTGCTAACTCTGTTTCTCCGCTCTTCTGCGCTTTCCAGTATTTGATCCATCTGTCGTGTGCTGCTTGTTTTGCGGCGAAAAATCTACGCTTACGCTGTTGGTTCATTTTAGCACGTGGTGCTGGTCCATCAATTGCCATGAATAAGATTTGGCGCGGGCGAACAATCATAAAAAGACGTTCGATGTAGTTTTCGATGTTTTGTAATACTTCTGCTTCAGATTTTGGCGGTGGGAGACCTTCTGGATGAAAACATGGATGGATTAAACCATTCATATCCAAGTATAAACAGTCAAATTCTCTATCGCCAATTGTATTGGGGTTTGGAAGAGAAGCGTTTGGTAAGTAGTGTCCATTTGTTTCATGTGGCTCAATACAGTTAGAAATGATTAGTGGATATTTTCGGGAAAGTGTACGAAAGAATGCTGGAACTCCCATTAATTTAAAAGGGGGAGTTCAAAAATATCAGGTGTAAATAAAATTATTTTCTCAAAAATCTAAGGTACATAGAAGCGCATAATCAAGTAATTTCCAAATTCATAAGTTTATATGAAATTTCCAAGAAATTCTTACCAAATTTAGAACAGATATTCTCTAGACAAAACCATTCTTCAATACATACTACTGCTTAATGAAATACTCACTAATAAGACTCATTAACAAATAAATAATTTTTTATATAAAATCTCATCAATTCAATTTTAGTACGGAATAGCTTTTATAATAGTTTAGGAGACGCATCCTGTATTGAGCAAAACTTTTAATGATTAAAATAATTATGATAATTTATATTACTTAAAAATAAGTAAAAGAAAGACTCACAAAGTATCCTGTATACTGTGTTTAACTAATCCAGCTACTGATTTTGTATTTGATGAATTTCAAAAAAAAATTTAGTTCTCAAGGAGCGTTCTTCTTAAAAAGAGTCTCTATGCTAGCAGGATAACACAAACAACAGCTTTCAAAAGAAAAATTATAATCAATAAAAGAATATCCCAATGACTTGACGAAAACACAAAGACCAAAATAACTCCATGAATCTAAGATTGTAAGAAGTTTTTTTGCTATGGATATCAACCGAAATTTTGAAATTTGTATTTGATTGTTTCAAAACATGACAGAAAAGGTTTTCTCTAATATAAATGACTTTTCTTTGGCATTGCTATAAGGATACAACCAAAATTCGACAATTTTTATGATTCATTTTGAATAATCGAAAAATAAACCCGAGATCTAGATTTTTCAGACTTTTCCGTACTATAAATTTGATTAACGAATCGAACTCAATGAGTGAATAAAATGAGTAAAATTTTGTTGAAATTTACTCGAAAATACTACTTTTGGTGAGTTAAAATGATGAACATTTTATTATATACGTTATTAAAATTCATGGTATTGAGAAAACGTTTAAACGCGAAATTTTTGCATGAATTGTTTCCAACAAAATCGATAATTACTCTTTTAGGACTGATATCTAATATGATAATCATTCTTTTAGTAATACGACCTGATTGGGGAACAAAACAAAGACTTTTTTTGATTCAAATTCAAAATTAAAACCGCTCATTTTCAAAAAAATTTAAGATATGAAATTGCTCAAATCGTGCTATACATTTAATGAATAACTATACATGGCACGGTGGGCGCAAAAAGTGACAAAATAGAATACCTATGGTGGCAAGACAAAGGAAACATTTTTGTAAGGCAAACATTATATCAAATACCTTTACTTTGTAATAAGAAATATAATTATCACGAAATTACAAATAAATATTGTTTAATATAATTAATAGCAAAATTCTTTTTATTATTTCCCTTAAGACCTTACTTATTAAGTATACGTATAACAAGCTTGTACTGCATGTATTAGTTAATAGAACAAAAGAAAATGAGCTCAAATGAAAAAAATTTTCATGCTATTTTGGAAATATGCATATTCGAAGTATGAGAGTTGTAAACACCGAGAATTTTAAGCTTTGGTTGATGATAGTCTTTAATTTTTCTTGAAGTAGTAAATTATTTGATATGAAAATTTAATGGCCAGCATAATCAATCGTGCGTTTCGTTTCTTGATTGAGAAACGATGATTGTGTGCTAATGAATTATTGCGTCTGACAGGTTATGATTATGGATACCTGAAATTAAGCTTTTATGGGAAACATCACCGAGCGCCATTTGGCGCCCCTAATGCTGTTTCTATCGGTATGATTAAGGAGCTTTCTTATGCACTTTCATCACTTGAACTTGAACGCTACAAGATATATGCCCCCCTCCCAATGGGAGGTGGGAGCAAAAATTGAAATGTTTACATTGATTTTTGAATACTTTACAAGCGCCCCTCCCAGTGGGCGCGGGCGCAAGTGATCGGGTCAAAAAAATCATAAAAATATTCAAAATTGCGATTTTAATAGATGTTTAAGAAGTAAATTTATTAATAACGATATTTCATATTACAAAATGTGTTCAATCTCTTCGTAAATCATTCAAAAAAATCAAAAGAATTTCCAAAATTCAATTTTTTTAGTAAAATTTATATCTTTTTCTATCGTCTCCTCCCCACCAGTGGGAGCCACCGGAGGCGCGGGCGGCGCCGCTGGCGCCAAAAAAGTAGCGCCCATCGTGCCATGTATATGAATAACATTGCTGACATAGTTTTGGGCAAAGATATTTTTTCAATGCAAATATAAACATTTCAAATGCTGCCCTCTTCAGGTTATGCACTTTAAATAGAGTTAGTCAATAAATATCAAAACTAAAAATTTAACGATGCCAATTGAGAGAAAATCCCAATCATATTGATTATTCCAACCTCATAGATTTGGAAATACATGTGTGTACAAGCACAGATAAGTGAAAGAGGATAAAAAGGCGCAAAAATCATTTCAAAGTTGTAACCAATACAAAAATTCAAAGAGTTATGGAAAAAAATTCTTCAACGATAGAGAAATTTTGAATATTATTCAATTTTTGCTGATGCGATTTGAGCAGACTAAAATTCTATAAGCAGCAAATTAGTTCACTTCTTTAAGATGTCATCTGTTGCCCACAACGCTAACGCTGCTTCCCACAAGATCTACGCTCTCCACCAGAAGGAACTTGATGAGAAGAATAATCATCATGAAAAGATCCATGGTGTTGACCCACTCCACACATCCCACAAGGAAGTTCAGGTCAAGAAGGCTCCAGTTGCCCACGGCCACGCCGGCCAAGGCAAGCCAGCCGCTGCTCCAGCTGGTGGTGCTGCCCCAGCTGCTGCCGCTGATAAGAAGCCAGCCGACAGGAAGAAATAAATATAATTTCGGTCCCTGGAACTATACAAGCATGGCTTGAGCCAATAACTCAACATGTAAGTTATTAATAAATATAAAGTATTAGATAAATAACAATTTAATCAAGTCTTTCTAACAGTTAACAGTCTTAAAGAAGCTCAAATTCTATTAACATCCGAGAATAATGGAAATATTAATAGAATTTGCTATTAGAAATGATATTATTTCCAAATATAATTGAAAGAACAACATCACTAACTCAAAAAACATCAGGACTCTTAAATCTTATATGAAATACGTTTCAAATCAGAAAGATTAAGTTGGCCAAAAAATAAGAATACAAATAGAGATAATTATCACAACAACGATTTATACTACAAACAAAACTTATATATTCGCAAAGCAATCTTGGTTTAAAATCTTTGATAACAAAATGTTAAATTTTGTTCTCCTTGAATCATCAAATCCAACGAACACTTAAAAACAGGAGACAAAAGCGACTTTTTTGTTATTATTACGGATTCTTTTTGCATATATGCATTGGTCGAAATTAAATTAACAAAATTTCACCAAAAATACAAGAATTACGGTCAAATTCTAGGAGAAAATTCTATTTCTATTTGTTATGGCCGAATAATTCATGAAATAATATTTCATGAATTTTATCTTTGAATTTTCGTACTTTTTTCCTTGTTTTCTTGCTTGAGACATGTATTACATTTGAATTTTATGTCATCAATATAATTAAAGTTTAAAACGCAAACTCAATCCCATCTTATCTAGTTTTTCTCGCCAAAACTTCTGTATTACAAGAGCAGCAGTGTTCATCTTATGAATTTGAGTTTGAGACAATCCCCATCTGGATAATCTTTGAGTCAAGAATGAACTAATTTTAATCTCTTGAGCTCGCTTAAATTTATCTTGTTCATACTCTATTCTTCGTTGAAGGAATTTATATTTCTTTCTGAGTTGTCCGAGTTGTATTGTTAATTTTTCAAGTAAAATTTGAGAACTTTTGCTACGTGATGGGTAGTCTGATGATATTCTACGTGGTATTTGGCGCTTAGAAATCATTTTCATTGTATCTTGAACAAAATTTGTTTGTACTTCTTCGAAAAGTTTGAGTTGAGCATTTATTTCTGTGCGCTTTTTAGACATTTCATTGATTTCATTTATCAGATATTCGTTATATTGTTGAAGAATTCCAGCATTGAAATGATTGATGAAATTATTTTTTCCAAAATCATCAAAATCTATTGTAGATGTTTGAGGACGACCAGATTTCAAAGATGGGGTAATTGATTCTGTCATTGGTTTAAAAAAGTTAGTAACGTCTATTGAATTTTTTCGGAATTCTTTCTGTATTTGCTTTAATTGCATTACTAAGTAAACTAATTCATCACTTTGGTAGTTTTCTAGGATATTTGCTAATTTGTTTTCAAGATTTTCTTTCTTTTTATTGAGAGTTTCAGCTTTAACAGTCAAAGTTTGAACTGAATCCAGTGCTCTTGAAGAGTTTCGTCTTTCTGGTATAATCTTATCAGCGTATTTCCAGTTCAAACTTCCATACTGTTCCATACAAAAAAATAATTAAGGGGATGTTGGAAAAATAACCCTATATAAATTATAACATTTCCAATCTAACAACAAGTTTAAATTTAGACAGTTCAAATAGAAAACATATATTTAATCTCGATCATATTTTTTAACTTCTTAATATTAAAGTTAAATTTCAATCATTGGATTAAATTGAAATATTTTCCTTCTAAATCAAGTGACATTGCTGTAAAAGATCAGAAGTAGAATAGAAAAGTTATCTTGAACAGTTTCCATAAGGATATAAGTGATAAAATCAAATGATCGAGATTTTGTGAAAGAGAAACATGAATCCATAACACTTAATCATGTACTCCATTAAGTATTGGGAACATATCAATGATGATCTTGTTTGATAGAAAAACACACATTGACAAATTTCAATTCAAGATTCTCACCTAAAATGACGAAAAAAGCGCAAATTACTTCAAACAAGAGCAGTATGTTCCAACATTTATATGTAATGAGAATTTTGCGATCGCGATCGAAGGTTTGAATAATTTTGTCACTTTTTGTTAAAATCTAAAATGAAGGAAGGAAAAGTTCAACCACAAAAATCTCTTCCAATACGCATTTATGAACTTTGGCCAAATTTCAAGGCATGGTGCGCAGCTGGTGATCCACCACCACAAACACAAGTCAAATCATTATATTTAATGGTATTCTTACTTGTTTTCGGTATAACGACAGGCACAATCTGGATTCTTTCAACATTCTTCAATTATTTCCAAGGTTCTATTGAGCATACATGGATTTTCCTCTTCGCTTCTTTTATAACTTTACTCCCAGGAGTTTACGCATTAGACATATCATACCATTGCTGGAGACGCCACAGAGGCTACGATTGGTGGATTATTCCACATTTTGAGTAAGATACGATTATTATTTTCTTGTTTAAATCATTATTATTTAACTAAATACTTTCATTCAATCATGTATTGATATCTAAATTCATTATACCTATTTTACCCCCTTAAATTCCTTAAACATTAGATATTTTCTATAAATACAAAGATTTTCCATGATAAAATGTTTTGCATATTGATTTAATCTCAATATATTACGAAAAACAAAGCACATTTACTAAAAAATCCTATTTATCTCGATAATTGAATTAATGATTTTAATTTGGATACAAAACATTATCATATTCCATATACAATAGCACTTTCTATTGAGGATTTCTTATAAAAATCTCATAGTTTGATTTTTATCTAATAATCCCGCAATTGAAATTGCTGCTAGAATCATTGATATACCTTGAATTAAGAAAACACAAGAATATATCCCTTTTTGCAATATTGTTTCTTAAGATATGATAGGATTATTTCATAAATTTATATTATTTGTTAACAAGTAAATATTTAGTGAGAGCGCCGTTCTTAAAGGTTGTTAAAATACAGTTATTAAAAGATTTTCAATTTAGAAACAAAATAAAATAAAATCATATTATAATTTTGATAAATCTTGAGGTAAATTAGGAATTAGTTCCTTGAGTCTTGCATATGCATCGACAATGAAAGGTTTCTGACCATCGCTCTTCACTTCCATGATGACTTCTACCTTAGGAAGCTTCATTCCAGTCAAATATCTCTGATTCTGCAAAATGCAGAGTTCTCTGAGATTTGATGTCTCTGCGAACTGGTTGTGCATGTCAGCCATACGCTGGATGAACGGTATATCTGTTGTAGCACTCATCTTCGTTGCTCTAGTATCCGACCAGAAAATAACAGCCGGATTTCCTTCAATTTTTTCTTTCGGAGAAGATTCGCATTCTACAGCGAACTCTGCAATTCCGTTTGAAAGAAGGCTGAGGAGTTTGGCGAGAGGAGATGCAATGTCAGTACTTGGTGCATCTAGAAGTACGTAATACGAAATTGAACATGAATTAAAAACAGATAAAGAACATTCGTGAGGAAGTCCGTCTTTCTTCGTCCAACCGTATTCATCAAAGTTTATCCATATTGGAAATGTCATGAAACGACTTGTTTCGAAATCCGGAAGCTTGGCTGCGATTGTTCTGAAATATGGTAAGAAACCAAGAAGTGGTTCACGAATTTCTGTAAGAACGAAATCTGTCTTTGTAAAAATAGCTGATCCAATAACCAACGGTGATGTTTGACGTGCAAATTCGAATAATTGTGTTGCAAGGCAAGTTGCAGCCTTTGAAGCTGATGCCGCGAATGGATGAGCAGCAAATGTAAATGGATCGTCAGATTTTTGAGGGAAACCTGCTAGTTCGATTAATTGAATTTGCTTCTTCAGCAATTCTCTGAGTTTGTTTGCTTCTTCGATTGTCATTTTCTTATTCATTTCTGGTATTGTAAACTTCAACGCTTGAATTATATTGTTTAGTGCAGTTCTTGTTGAATTTGCTGAAAAGAATTTTGGTAATTTAAGAGCCATGATAAGCAAATCACCTTCTTGCAATTCTATTGTTTGAACAGCGATGATTGATTGACTCCATGTGAATGATGTCAATAATTTATTTAAATTTAATCTCGAAAATGTTGTAAATGTCTGCAATCCACCGATTAATGCATGCATATGGCGATCTTGAACATTAGAAGGGAAAGTAAAAAGAACGTTATCTAAGATTTTACTTGGGTCTTCATCACCTTGTTCTCCTTCTTTAACAGATTTATACAAAAATACTGTAAAACATGGGAATCCAGGCGCTTCATCATCTGGAGCTGCATTACTCCAAAATTCAGCTATTGATGGTTCCCAATATCTTCTATGATCAATTTGCGCCATATTAATATGAATTATTTACTTCAAATTATTATAATGTCATGAGCAAAGTAATACCATTTACATATCAAATTCTTCTTAAGTCTCAATATTCAAGATTTCGAAATTTAATCAATCTCTAATAACAGCTTTCTATAGCATGGATATATCAAACACCTTATGTTTGGATTAATTTTTCTTAATATCCATCGAAAATCATGTGATTTGTTCAATTTTGATTCTGATTTGCTATTTAAATATGACAAACTATAAAATAGCATTCATTAGATATTAAAAACATGATATTCAAACTCGAATTTCGAATTTCGAATTTGATCAAACTTTCTACCTCAATCAGGAATCTTGACTTAAATCTATATTTTAGATTTTTAGAGTATTTCGAACTAGAAATAGACGTTTTTTAATTTGAAATTTGACAAAAATAAAATTAATGTCACAACAAGAGGAGCAGCTTCCAACACAGCCAGAAGATCTTGCAAATTTCATGGATCAAATCTTCAGCCAAATGGAGTCCAAGTTCACTGATATGGCTCAGCAAGTTCTCAAACGCATCGACGAAATGAGTTCTAAAATCAACGAACTGGAGAGCTCAATCGACACCCTCATGCAACAAGCAGAGCAGGATAAATAAATTCAATTAGTTAGTTATTAATTATAATCAATTAATACTGTGGAATCATTTTATTCAATAAATTCAAACAATTTTAAAACCTTACAGTTCATTTTTAATTTAACGATATGGCACTACAGCACTTCAAATTCATAATATTTTGATATGCATGAGTGTCATTCGTTATTTTTTTTATACCCTTGAAATTGAATATTAAACCTAATGAGAATACCAAAAGCCTAATACTCTTACATATCTCATAGGCTTTATATTGATATATCATATTTCTAAGCATAATTTCTTTTTTTTAAATTATTGATCTTTGCTCAGAGCTCACAGTAATGTGACGAATAATTCTATGCTGCGTTAAATTAATTATTTCACCATATTTCTTTGTAAATCATAATATGAATGAATATTTCAAATAATATGCATATACATAGGCAAAAATACGTTCATACGCTATTCTACTTTATTGGTATAGTATTATTTCAGAATAATGTCTTACGTAATCTATATTTTATGCATTTTCATTTTTATCTAGAAATTAAAGGACAATAATATGCAAACATATGTTACTTATACTTGAAAATGAAAATGGACATAGTTATCAGTAATTTTTTGATTTACTATAAGATAAAATTTAAATTTATCAGAATTAGATGATTTTTATATAAATTATACATATTAGTTCTTTTTGGAATAGACATTAATTATAGTTTTTGCTATGGAAACAAGCATTATAAAGATAATAAAATAAAAATATTTCTAAATTAACACTAAAATACAAAATAATTCTTTACAAATAACAACTACAAAATATAAGTAACATATTCTATATAATCTTCTTGAAAAAGTCAGTAAACAACTGATCATTGACTTCCATTGCTTCTTTTGGTTTAACTGTTGATCTGAATATCGAAAGGAGCTCAAAACATCTAACACCATTCTGATTAGGAAACACAGAATTGGCAATAAGGCCATATGTAACGCCATTATCGTCATCAAACGAAGGAGGAGTGAAAATATGGGATGGTTGGAGTATCTCGTTATCATCGTTCTTAAATCTGAGCTGATAACAGAACTGGTAGTCCAAACTACCCCACATCATCGTTGTATATCCGTGCATTATCGCATTAAAGGCGTAGCTTGCCATTTTCCGGGTTAATTGACGGTACTTAGCAACAGCAGCTTGTTTGTCAATGTTGTGGTAGTTCATAATGGCTTCAAGGCTCTGATCAAAAGGCATTTCCCAAATATCGCCTTCCGTACGATTTATTGCAATGAAATGAAGTAAATCTTCATTGTAAATCGACGTTGTAGGAGGTAGTTCGATCTTTGGCATGCCACTAAGGAAATTGCACAAATTTCCCATATATTCGTTGATTTGCTTTTGTACAGGGATGGGAATCTTGGTATTTTCGCTAATTACAACAATTATAGAGTCCGATTTTTCTGCGCATTTTGAACATGATAAAGTACATCCAACAGGAGTGCGAGCTAGACGTAGAAAAGCACCTTTATGCTTAGGGTTGGTATCAATTTTGACGTAGGATGAGTCGAATCGCTTTCCTTCGCACTTTGTTTCGCCATTTATTTCTGGAAATTCGACATGGACGAAGATTTGTATTAAAGAAATGATCTCTGGCTCAAGAACTGATGCCTTAGGATTCTTAAAATGTACTGCAATTTCGTTTCCAATGAAGAGGAAGACAGCATTTAGTTTTATTGGAACATCTTTTGGTACTGGCGGGACTTTTTCGAGGAAATAGTGCTGTAATTCATGAGAATCATCAGTATATCTTAAGGTACTAAGAAGAAAATGATGATCATCTTGACATAATTTCAAATAGGTATCTACATAACGAGCAAATACTTGTCTCTTGGATAATGAAATATTCCTACGCATGACTGATTCGAATTTTGTTCCAAACAAGAAGATCAGGATCTCACGAGAAGTTTGGAGAATAAATCTTAAGACTTCAGCACCAAAGTCTTCATTAGTCTCAACAAAGAACAGCATGCCACGCCATTGCTGCAAAACAATAAATAAATCTCCTGCTCTGAAGAACTGAAAATCTTCATTTAATTGTTCTTTTAAGTAAGTAATAGTTGTTAATAGGGTCATGTTATCGTTTCTATGATGATCTTCATCACTTTGTATTTCTACTGGATAAAACGTAGTAGTATCTGAGATAACGCGGATTTTAATTCCACATTCACTCATTTTTTTATTTCATCAATCGAGAATTCTAATAATACCGTTCAATACAACTCATTATGGTACCCAAATTTTCTAATATAGTGTGCCATCTTTTTTCAAAAATTATTTGGATTAATTAAATTTTCTGCTTTATAAGACATCTCATCGATGTAAAAGGGAAATGTTACTGAATACCAAAATATTGACTGATTCATGGAAGTAAAAATTCCATTTAATTTTGATTCCATTCAATTAACTATTTTATGACAATATGTTTCGCGAATGTTTAGTTTATTTGGCAATTGAGGACATAGCCAATTGATTTTCGAAGTTATGGTAGCATTAATTGAATCAAATGTATCAAAAAAGATGATCTGAAATAGAGTATCTTTGCATGAAACAGATAATATTACTTCAATTAGATTGGATATCAAATTTTATTGAAATTTAATAAGTTTTTGAGTTCAAAATCTATATGGAATCAGGAAAGAGTCAATTTACAAAGAAATATATAACAAGATTTAGGATAAAAAGACAAAAGAAATAAGATAGATCATATAAAAATAAAAAGATAAAATTATTTTCCGAATTTTAAAATTTCTCAAACAGGTTGAGTTGTAATTCCATATTTCTTACAAATTTCATCAATTTTGACATATCTCTGTCTGAGTTTGTTAAGCTTTTCTCGTAAAGTTAATACAGACATGTCAATTCTCGATGAAGTAATGAGAACATCCAAATCTTTATTAGTAATGCATGTTTTGAAGAACCACTCAACGATTTCTGGGTGCTTATATGGCGCATAAATAAGAGAAATCAAAATATAACCAAGAGCAGGGTCATCTGGATCATTAAAGTTGTATCCAGCATTGTAAAGTATTTGTAAGAATGGAATAATGTCTTTAGAGTACTTTGACATGGCAGAAATTCCTCTAAATTTTTTATTTTTCTTTTCATTGACGTTTATATCGAATTTGAGCATCTTTTCAGCAATATTAGGGTTGCAGGTATGGAAAATCCAGTGAACAATCGGTGGTTTTTGATTATCATTTGAAACAAGAGTTTTAATATGGGGAACTAAAAGAGATACAATGTTTTCGTTATCATAAATGCATGCATAATAAAGAGCGCCAACAAGTTCATTGTTACTAGGCTTAGTTTCCAATAATAATGGAATAGCTTCGCTTTTTTCATTCTTTGCAGCAATTTCGATAGGTGATAAGGTTGTAGAATCTTGATTTATGTATGAGAGTAAAAGGGTAATGCATTCTATTGAACTTTTTTTAATTGCTTTTGTCAGTGCGATATTTGCTAATTTATTTAGAATGATTGGCTTATTGTTGATAAATCCATAGCTAGAATCAATCAATAAGCGAATAATTTCAGTCGATGAAGCATGAGTGGCCAAGATAATGAAATTTGTATCATCATTACGCTTGTAATCATCTAAATACATCTTTTGTAGTCTTTGCATGAGATCTGGATTGCGTTTACATTTTTCAATTACATAAGAAGCTACTTCAACAGCACCTCCCAAACAAGCATATGAAAAAATTGGAATTGAACCAGTGTCGAATGATAAATTTGAGTTCTTTTCTATATAGCAATAAACTTCTAATTGATCATAGTATGCAGCCAAGTGTAAATGACTTAATCCTGAAGATGGTAAAATTACACCTTGCTGGGGATTGCTTGAAAGCAACTCAGCGCTAAGAGACAGGGTAAAGTTATCACTTAACTTGGCTTTCTGAAGATTTTCAATATCAGGTTCCGCTGGAACTTGTTTCGACATAATTATTTTGAAATGACAGGCGCTTCACACCAATAACTAAAATTTTATCAGCTCAATACTTTGCTTTACTTGGGATTCCCGATCAATTATCATATTTATCTATCATTTGATGTGATTTCTTTAATAAATCATCATTTATCATTTTTTTCATGGAATTGAACTTGAAAAACAAATAACACGCGCTTGAATAAGCTCAAATTAAGTATGGCGAAATGCGTTTATTCCAAAGAAGCTCCACTTTTTATTTGAAATATCATTAGACGTTTCATTGAATCATGCTTGAACGATAGCCTTTATTTGGTCCGAGACAGTCCATTCACAAAAATAAAAAGGTGTTGGGATCAAAACATTGCATTAACTGATGTTTGCATTTCTGAATTTATTATTTTCCTTTTTTTCAATTGTCAATCGAAGAAAGTTTTACAAGATTTGCAAAGACAGTTGAAGATATCTTTGAATTTAATGAAGATAAAAAGGAGAGTATTGTACAAGATTTACATTCATTACTTGCAGAAAAACGAGTTGATCTTAAATACATTTTAACGTTATTTACAGATATTTCATATTATTTACCGAAACGAATCAAGTATATATGCAATATTATTGATTCCGTACTCAAAATGCTCACAAACTATGAAGGAATTCAGAATTTCGAAACAAATCCAACAATAGAAATGTTTCTTTCAAAGAAAGGATACATACAAAAGGACATTCCATATTTATATAAGGATGCTGACCCATATGATATTTTTGATCTTCCACCACAAGATGAAATCAAAAAATTCATTTTAGAAGACAAAAATCAAGAACTATCAGAATTCATCGATTCAAATCATATAGACATATCAACATACAAGATCAATAAAATGAACCTACTTGAATTTTCATGTCAAAGTGGATCAATCAAGTGCTATAATTACTTGAAAACAACAAATATTTTCGATATTACCGATCATCTAGAATTTTTATCATATTTAAGTGAAAATAAAGAAATGATATCAGAATTCAAGCGAATTAAAATGAACAGTGAAATCAGAATCTTTTCCAATCGTAAGAATCCAAATATTTTAAAACCATCTTTCGAAGAAATCATCCGATGTCGTAATTACAATTACTTACTTAAACTTACGAAAAATCGAATTGACAAATTCGATGCAAATGGTCAAACAGCTCTTTTAGCCGCAACAATACAAAGCGACACATTCTTAATTGACTATCTTCTTGAAAAAGGTGCTAATCCTAATAAAAAAGTTCTGAAAATTGATCTAAATCCATTTATACTCGCTATTGGAAAAGATGACGAAATTTTGTTTGACAAATTTGTTAAACATAATGCCAAAATGATTGATACTCCTCTTGAAATATTTTGTTTCACAGGCCTATCAAAAGTTTTAAAATACTATTTGGATCATTTCAAAAAGGATCTTGAAATCAATTCATACTTTGGCATTGGAGAAACATTATTTACAATGGCTTGTTATGGCGGGAAGTCTAAAAGTATCAATGCTCCTATTAAAGAATCAAAATATTTGGATATTTTAGAATATCTCTTAAGCCGAGGTGCGGATATTAATAAATGCAATAAAGATGGAGCAACAGGTTTATTCATTGCATGTCAAAATGGAAAATTTGAGATTGTAAAGTTTTTAATTGAAAAAGGTGCGAACGTCAATATCAACATGAAAGATTTGGCATCTCCTTTATATATTTCATGTCAAAACGGATATTTCGAAATTGTTGAATATCTTATTAATCACGATACTGATATTAATTTTCAAAATAACCTTGGTGAAACACCTCTGTATATTGCATGCTATAAAGGTCATAAAAACATTGTTCAATTACTTTTGGAAAAGAAAGCTAAATACGAGTGTCTGACTTTTGAAAAAGAAACATTAATCCATGCAGTATCATATAAAGGTTTTTTTGATATTTTATCAATTTTACCAAAAGATATTGATGTAAATGCTACAAAAATATGCGGAACAACTGCCTTATATATTGCATGCCAAAACGGACACAAACAAATTGTTGAATATCTTCTATCAAATAATGCGGATATTAATATTAAAAATGAGGAAGGTGTAACTCCTCTTTTCATTGCAAGTCAGAATGGACACAAAGACATTGTTGAAATTCTCCTTTCACGTGATTCGGATCCAAATAAACCAACCAATGGCCTAATAACTCCTCTTTTTATTTCTTGCCAAAACGGACATAAAGAAATTGTTGAAATTCTTCTTAAACACAACGCAGATCCAACCATTTTATGTAAAGAAAACATAACTCCTCTCTACATAGCTTGTCAAAACGGACACAAAGAAATTGCAGAGCAGCTTCTTTTACGGAATGTAGATCCAAACATTCCATGTTGCGACAATACAACTCCTCTCTATATAGCATGCCAAAACGGATACAAAGAAATTGTTACAATCCTTCTTAATTATCATGCAGATCCGAATATTCTGATTGAAAATCCTTCAGCTTATATTGAGAAAGAAATTCAAAACTTATTTTTCCCAAAGGTTGAACCTACAAGCCCAGCTTATCCTTTGCAAGCATTTTTCGACAGAAGGTATGATGTAAACGAGAATCTTTTCTTACATTCCATAATGCCAGATTTTCCATTTGCGCCACCAAAAAAAGAATACTCAATATTTGACGAAATTGCTCAAAATCTTTTATCAGATGAGGAAGATTCTAATATTATACGTAAAGATGTTGTCACTCCTCTATGTATAGCATGCCAATGCGACTATAATGAGATTACTGAAATTCTCCTTTCACATGGTGCAGATCCAAACCTTCCAAAAATTGGTAAAATAACACCTCTAATAATTGCATGCCAAGGAGGCAACTTAGAAATTGTTAAAAACCTTCTTTCACATAATGCAAATCCAAATATTACTGGTGAGTTAAACGTAACTCCTCTTTATATGGCATGCCAAAATGCACATAAGGAAATTGTTAAGCTTCTCCTTTCCCATAATGCAGATACGAATCTTGCAACGGAAGACAACGCAACTCCTCTTTTCATTGCATGTCACCATGGACAGAATGAAATTGTTGAGCTACTTCTTTCACATAATGCAGATCCTAATATTTCATATGAAGATGGTACAACTCCTCTATTCTTAGCGTCCCAAAACGGATTCAAAGAAATCGTAGAAAACCTTCTTTCACATAATGCAGATCCAAATGTTTTACTTGATAACAAACCAACTCCCCTCTATGTAGCATGTGAAAATGGTTACAAGGAAATTGCCGAAATGCTTCTTTCCCATAATGCAGATCCAAATCTTTCAAATACAGGTGCAACTCCTCTTTACATTGCATGCCAAAACAAACACATAGAAATTGCTGATATCCTCCTTTCACATGGTGCAGATCCAAATATTCAATATAATAACAACATGACCCCTCTATGCTATATTTGCCAATATGGACCTATTGAAATTGTTAAATCATTAATTAACAATCCAAAAACAGATATTAATAAGCAACAGGAAAATGGATATACTCCTCTTCATATAGCCGTTTATTGCAAACAATTGGAATTTGTTAAGATATTGCTTGACAAAGGATGTGACGTAAATAAGGCCAATAGCAATAATTGCACTCCATTGTATACAGCATGTTATAATAACTCTGTTGATATTGTCGAACTTTTGCTAAAGCATAATGCTGATCCAAATATTGCAAGTATTAGCAAGCAAACACCATTGCATATTGCAAGCACTTCTGGATATTATCAAATTGTTCAGATTCTTCTTTATTATAAAGCTGATGCTTCCATTGTTGACGAAGATGGTCGCACACCTATTGATATCGCAAAATCAAAAGAATTCTCAGAAATTGCGGAATTATTGGAGCCAAAAAATAAAATAGGTATTGAAACACCGAAAGTTTTTGATTAATTCAAGTTTAATTTTAATATATTAAAGACTGTTTATTGATTTAAATAAATGTTATATTTCTTCACATTATTTTGCTGTTCAACAAACTTTTTCTGGAACAATATTGAAATAGCAAAAGCTTCAAATTATTTAGGTTTTTGTAACAATAAAAAAGGAGAAAACAATAAAATATTTAAAGTTCCTTATACACATCTGACTTTAATTCAAATTTCTTATAACTGGTGTGAAGCATAATTTGAAAGCTAAAACTGAAAGTCATGCCATATGGGCGTAAGTACGTCCTTAAAGTCAATAAAAAAGGGGAATCTTATAATCGAATGTGAACTCACTTTTTCATATATGTTTTGGGTAAACAAACCCAAATATGAGAGTGAGGGCATTTCTGCATAGTGTTTTAAATCTTGAAATGGGCAATATGAGATATGCAGTGATTCAAGAGTATTCAATAAAACAAATACCAAATAAATAAAGAAGGAAATAATTCAGAAACATTAATTTTTAAAAAACAAACAAAAAAATCTTTTAAAATTTAATTTTCTTCGCCGTAAAGAAGGTTCTGGATTCTTTCTTTCTCTTTCTGTTGCAAAAGAATCTGTTCGTCTGATTTCTTCTTTACAACGTTCGGGAAATATCTCTCCATTAGTTTTCTTCCTGTTCTCTTCTTTATTGGCCTTGTTGCTCTTGCCAACGCGTGCTCTTTCTTCTCTAGAAGCATCCTTTCACGTTCAATGATGATTTGTTTCCTTGCTTCTTCTTTTCTGGCGTTATCTATGATGTTTTGCTTTTCTCGGATGAAATCTGGATTGACACGATCACATTCTCTGTAGAATTCCTCAAGTTTGGCTTCTAATCGCTCCAAACATTCAATAGGAGTAAGACTGGCGCGTTTCTTGAAGCAATCAACAAATAATTTCAGAACTCGGCTGGAAAGAAGCTCCAATTCTGTTGGTTCTCTGGTTGTTGTCTCTTCTTCAGATGGTTCTTGGTTTGCAGGGTCTTCTTCGTAAGATTTAAGAACAGGAATAATATTTTTATTTATTGTTGACTCCAAATTGGAAATTGTGGTCTTTAAGTCAACCAATTGGTGTTCTGCTGTATCATTTCCTCTACTAGCCATGTCTTCAAGGATATCTAATTGCTGATTCAAGAAAAGATTATCTCTTTCTTCATTTTCAATGATTTTAATAAGGATATCTGGAGCTTTGAACATATCTTCTAATTCCATGTTATCTGGTTTAACTTGTTGAAGGAATTCATAGTATTGTTGGTATTGAATCAAATAATCTTCATTTCTTGATATTTCTGACTGAATGACCCCATTAATATTATCTCTCTTATGAAGTACTTTTTCAATATCAACTCTGGCTTGAGTTGCTTGTTCTGCTCGTTTCCTTCCTTTTTGTAATTCGAGTTCTATACGATCAGACTCTCTTTGGCACTGATGCGATTCCTCAATGATCTTATTTTCTGTTACTTCTACCATTTCCTTTTCATTTTCCATTTGTTGAACAAGTTGATCAAGATTTTTTCCTTTTTGATTTAAAATCAATTGAATTAAGTATATATCACGCTTTTCGGCTATCTTCTCATCAATTCTTTGCTTTCTATGGTATGTATCTTTATTAAATTGTCTTGCAGAAACTGGAGATGAAGAATGTTGAATTCTAGGACTGTATTGACGTAAGGGAACTTTGGGTTGAAGAAGTTTGTTCCGTTCTACTACGGATAATTTAAGATAATTCCTTCTTTCTGTTTTAATTCGTTCTGATTCGATTGCTGCTGATTCAAATTCTAATTCTTCTGGACGGATAGTAAAAGGATTAGGTGCTCGTGCTGACCGAATGCTAAGTTTGGGTACAACAGGTTCCGAAATAGGTAATTCAACTTCAGTCATTTATTAACGTAAATGTAAATTTTTTAAAAGAAATTTCTGACATTGTAAAGCAAGATTTTGTCAAATTAAACAAAATTAATGATTAATTCGTCTTCCTTCTTGGAATAATTTAGGACAGTTCTTCAATATTAAAACTATCACTTAAGTAGTTTGTAACCATGTATGAAATGGAAATTAACTTCTAAAATATACAAATTCAATCAAAATAGAAGAAATATACCGAATCAATACACCCACAGTAAACATTATTCATTTAAGAAATAAAAAGTTGTTTAATTTAATAGGCTATATTCTGCAATTAAGGTACCGATTTTACAATGATCATGCATGATTCCACTAACATTAAGGTATTAAATACATACGAGAAAATGTCTAAATAAAACCTAGCTTTTTTTTGGCGAAACAGCCATAGTGATCAATATGGATATTATGGACTTGATAGTTGTTGTGATTGAGAATCATACTGGACATGCATGGATGAATGATGCAATATTTTGAACCTTTCTTTGCTATCTCCCGTAAATTCCAATATAAAAAAAATAATCTAATAAATTTGTTTAATATTTTATCATGATTCTAATTTCGTTAGGAAAATTGGCCTAAATCTTAAAATTCCGATGAATTTTATATTTGGTGGTTGATCAGACAAAATAAGATCGATTATTCAATGATTGTCCTGAAAAACTTTCGGAACTTCATTTCTGGCATAACATATATTATGTTTAAGGGTGCACACGAGAGGATCATGTAAACTTCAGAATTTAGAACCTTATTTTTAGGCATTATCTTGGCTACCTATTTAGGCTCGAAAAGCAAAAAATATCAAAAAATACAACTTGACTCCATTCTGACCCTTTCATGGAGGTAGTTTTTATCCGCTAGTATTTTCCCTTTGAATCTCTTTACAATTCGAAATCAAATTCAAACCTCAGTAGAAGAAAGGAAGAATCGACTTACTACGGTTGTAATACGAATAAATACATATATTTAATTATTTTTATTTACATAATAATTGTTTGAAGCTCATATTCCATCAAATTTTTAAATAAAAACATTAAAATGTTGAAAATGTTCATATATTTTAATAGGGTTTTGGCACTTTATTGAGGAATTACTACATACATAGTTGAACTGAACTTGATATTTTGAAATTTAAATTATTTATCAAAATTAAAATTTAACTTGAAATTTATAATTATTTAGTCATATTTTGCATAATTCTAAGTAGATTTTATAAAAAATCAAGAAAGAAAAATTTTAACGTGCTTTATTTTTTCTTTTTTATAATAATACATATTATTATATAAAAAAAAAAAAAAAAAAAAAAAAAAAAAAAAAAAAAGGTAGTGGGGCTTCCAGGCACTTCGTGCCTTCTAGCCCTGAGGATGAATGAGTATAATGAAGTCTTGACAAAACATTTACGAAGAAATCTCAACAAAGTCTTTACGAAGAAGTCTTGACAAAACATTTACGAAGAAGTCTTGACAAAACATTTACGAAGAAATCTCAACAAAGTCTTTACGAAGAAGTCTTGACAAAGTCTTTACGAAGAAGTCTTGACAAAGTCTTTACGAAGAAGTCTTGACAAAATATTTACGATGAAGTCTTGACAAAGTCTTTATGAAGAAATCTCAACAAAGTCTTTACGAAGAAATCTCAACAAAGTCTTTACGAAGAAGTCTCAACAAAGTCTTTACGAAGAAGTCTTAACAAAACATAGACAAGAAAGTTCATGAGTGTAAATGACCAAAAATATATTTTAGGGTAGAAGGGTATATCTACCCCGTTTTCTACCCTCTTTTCTACCCTCTTGAATTTTCATGAAATTTACACCAAAAAATATACTACTAGGGTCATTTACGAAGAAATCTCAACAAAGTCTTTACGATGAAGTCTTGACAAAGTCTTTACGAAGAAATCTCAACAAAGTCTTTACGAAGAAGTCTCAACAAAGTCTTTACGAAGAAGTCTTAACAAAACATAGACAAGAAAGTTCATGAGTGTAAATGACCCAAAAATATATTTTAGGGTAGAAGGGTATATCTACCCCGTTTTCTACCCTCTTTTCTACCCTCTTGAATTTTCATGAAATTTACACCAAAAATATACTACTAGGGTCATTTACGAAGAAATCTCAACAAAGTCTTTACGATGAAGTCTTGACAAAGTCTTTACGAAGAAATCTCTCAAAGTCTTTACGAAGAAGTCTCAACAAAGTCTTTACGAAGAAGTCTTAACAAAGTCTTTACGAAGAAGTCTCAACAAAGTCTTTACGAAGAAGTCTCAACAAAGTCTTTACGAAGAAGTCTTAACAAAGTCTTTACGAAGAAGTCTTGACAAAGTCTTTACGAAGAAATTCATGAAAATTCAAGAGGGTAGAAAAGAGGGTAGAAAACGGGGTAGATATACCCTTCTACCCTAAAATATATTTTTGGGTCATTTACACTCATTTACGAAGAAAAAACATTTTTATTGTATATATAAAATGAATTTTACAAAACCACCGTTACCCTTCTTTGGAAATAAGAGTAGATGTAAAGATATTCTATTGAGAGAACTTAAGAAACTACCGAATGGTCTAACATTTGTAGACTTGTTCGGTGGAAGTTTCTATATATCTCATTTGTGCCATACAATATTTCCTGACTCAAAGATTATATGCAATGACTTCGACAACTATATGGACCGTCTCAAACATATACCAGACACAAACAAAATATTGAAAGAGTTAAAAGAAAAGATACCTATAGGTAAGATGGAACGTATACCATTAGATAAGAAAAATACTGTCAGAGAGGTTTTGAAAAGGCAGAGTATATTGACTGGGATAGTATATCTTCTAGACTATTATATAGTGGTTCTATAAGAGTTCATGACATTGAAACACTTATGTCAAAAGTTTTATATCTTAACTATACAAAGGTTTTCAAAGAGGACATAGAAAAATATATTGAGGGTATAGAGTTTGTGAGATGTCATTGGACAGAGTTGTATGAAAATATAAAGACAAGGAAAATGTTTTCTTTATAGTGGACCCGCCGTTCTATAACACATGGGATTTTCAATACAAGTAGACTGGACTTTGAGAGACTCTTTAGAAACTTTAGACGTTTTACATAACCATCCATGCTTTTACTTTACATCCGATAAAAGTGGTTTGGAAAGTGTCATGAGATGGTTAGAGGACACATGACTATGAGTTTTAGATACGATAAGATAGAATATGAGAGAGGTCCTATAAAACTGGAGAAAAGTGTCATAACAAAAAAATTTTACTAGTAAGTAAATGTGGTTTGAAATAGGACTACTTGTTTTAGGTTTTTTCCATTGTGTCATTTATTTATTTGACGTGGCAGAAAAGTACAGAGAATATGAAGATGAACCAATGCCTGCAAATTTCAGTATATGTACTCGTAAGAGATATTTTTATCTAATATTAATGGACGCACAGAACTTAGCGAATGCACAGCAACCTGGACAACCACCCAGGAATTATTCCAAATGAAGTTAGAATACAAACTGCAATGGCAAACTATGGTCAAGTGCCAACAGATGTACAAATGCAAACTGCCATGTCAAATGACGCTGCGTTAGGCTTACCACCATGGTATGCAAATATGAGATGGAAAGAGTTTTATACAAACCCCGAAGTGGGATATAAACAACTCTATGCAGATGACGCGAACACAGGAGTTGACCCAGAGTATGTTTTCTACCAGAGGAGAAATAGAATGTATGAGCTCCAGTTAAAGAATGCTATGGAACTCAGAAGGAAACGTAAGAGACTAGGTGGACATTAGATTTTTACATATAGTAAAATGGGTTTCTTTGGAAGAATAGGAAACTTCTTTCGAAATGTTGGAAGAGGTATATGGAATGGAATAAAAACCGTCGGAAGAGGAATTTGGAACGGAGTCAAAAATATTGGCAAAAGAGTAGGTCAGTTCGTTGGTATTATACCTAAAGACCCTGAACCAGAAGAACAAGCTCCTGTTATACAACAGCCTGAACCTGCACCACAGTCTAGTTGGCAACCAAATCCAACACCTCAACCGTATTAAAAAATTATATTTTTATCGTTCGATAGTAGTTGTATATGAAACTAAGTTCTAAGTAAAACGCATGGTATAATGGAATTATTCTTTTTCTTCCATCTGTAGTAAACCATACTTGAAAGTCTGAAATACTTCCACTTGGTGGTTCGTATAACTTTGTAGGTTTTTCGTAAAAGTCATTTGCCAAGCATAAAAAAGTTTTGTGCACCAGAAAATGAAGCATGAACTATAATAGCATCTGAGTCGAAAACATTTTCATATGTTCCATTAGGGTTTTCGACTTCATAAAAGTCCGGGTGTACTGGATATTCTGCAGGCTGATTTAACATCCTCAGAAACCTATACCATGCCAAGTTGTTATATTTTGTAGAAATATAAACGTCTTCTCCAAGGTCTTCTATTCTATTGATTTTAACAGTTGCATTTTTCCTGTCATATATAATATCGAGATGGTACTCTCCTTCGTCAATGTTGTACTGTTTTGCATATTCGAGATAGATATCGTTTATTTTTTCTTGAAAAGCTTGAAGAGTTGTTTCTAAGTTTACAAGCAAATTCACTTGTAAAAGTTTTCCCTGTTCAAATTTCTCATACGTACGTTTCTCTTTGTTATAGTATCGAATTTCAAAAGCGACCGTAAATGGGAAACCATGTATGGCTTCTGAAATGAATTTCATTCTACGAAAGCCAATAGCTTTTGTGACGGATGGGTCTCTTAGCCATCTTAACGGGTAGTCAAAACGATAGCCTTCATGCTTTACGGTCTCTGTCTCAAACTTTTGACCGACATTCGTAAAAAGTTCATCTAATGGTTTAGTTGTAGCAACTCTAGAATTTTCTTTTTCTATTGAAAGCATATTTTATCTAGAATAAAAATGTCGAAAGAAACAGCGTCTATGAGAGAAATACAACATAACCGACAACTCATTTTGCAAGCTCTAAATA